GCCTGTCTCATGAACCTTACATTTATTGTTTTCCCTCCTCTGCACTCTCACAATCACAAGATAAAGTGGTTGCCTGTCCTGCAGTGCCCTGGAGAACAGCCATCTGTAGGGGACGTAGATCTCACTTTGCTGTTTGAGTGGCCCAGCATCTGGGAGTATCAATTTTTTATTCCCTTTGGAAGATTTTCTTTCTTTTTGTAACCTTTAGCTTCATAGTTCATTGACCTAAACAGTGATGGATCAAACTGTCTTGAGAGATGTCAGGTCCCTCAGGTTGCTAGTGGGATTGGAATTTTTCTTAGGGCAAAAATGGTCTTGGACTTGTACTTGGAACCAAATGGTTTGAGGAAAGGGGTTTGAGATTAGTGGAATCCACACTGTGTTTTTCTAGATTCTTAGACTCCATAGAGGCGATTAGGGCATTCTATGAATGTTTCACTAATGACTCATAAGATATCATTTAGGTAGTTGGAAGTTATAACAAATAAGGTGAATATTACTCTGTGTAATATAACATATTTCTAATGTGGAAAGGTCCAATGGACTAATTTAGTTTTGTGTGTGCCATTGTTGTTCATTAACAAATATTTAAAAGCAGCTACCAACCCCGTGCCTTAAAACATGCTACAAATATGTGCCTCACAAATTGACATGAAAATAGACTTTAAGTAGATGTTGAGCCTATGTACAAGTGTAGATAGTTCTGATGACTCTTCTTTCAACCCTTTCAAGTAAGCTTTCCCAAGTATTTATGGTTAACAAATATTATCATTAGTACTTATTAAGTAAGTGTACACTAGTAAAACATTTTTTAAAAGTATTTTATGTGATGAGGTATCATTTCAGATTATTTTGAAATGTTAGGTGAGAAAAACAAGTCCTTGTTAGGAAATTACCAAAATTTGTCACAACAAATAGGTTTTTGTTAGAGAGCTGTGTTAGTCACCTTTCTTTTACTGGAACAATGTACCTGAGATCATCTCTAAGGGGATGGTTTTATTTTGAATCCTGGCTTCACAGGGTTTAGTCCATGGTTGCTTGGCCCAGTTGCTTTGAAGTCTGGTGGCACAATTCATCATGGTGACCTGTGTGGCTGAGGAGGCCTGTTAACCCTGTGTTGGGTGGAAAGCAAAGAGAGAAACATGGACATGTCAGGGTCTCAGTATCCCCTTCGCGACCATGTCCCCAGTGCCCTAACTTCCTCTAACTAGGGCTCCTCCTCTTCAAGGATTGACCAGCTTCTGGTATGACCACAGGCTGGAACCAAGTCATGATCAGATACTCATCCAACTGCACTGGACACTGTTTACATCTAAAAGTGGTCGTTTTTATAAAAGGAACATGTGCTATTTAAACACACTGACAGATTATATAGCTTAGCTCTCTCATTTCACACATTAGGAAACTGGTTCATTCTTAAAGTGAAATACAGTATGGACAAACAATTTCAGGAAGAATTTAAGCAAATAGGGAGGGACAGGACACACATCATTTAATTAGGCAGACCAGTAGGAACTACCTGTTGTTTTTAATGAGTAGGCCTATCGTAGCCAGATCTCGGTTTCAGAGGGAAGCTTTGGTGGGCTGATAGTTACAGCTTATGATTAGCAGCACTAGGACTTGAAAGTCTTACAGTGATCTGTAAATGGTCCTCTAAAGGAAGAGTGATGATAAGAAGTACTTGTACTATAGGAACTATTCCTGCTTCTGCATGTCTATGTGTGTGCATATTTCCTGCAGGTAAATTTAGGAAGGGGACTTGGGAGATTAATTGGTGGGTGCAGGAGACGCCATAGGAGGAAAGGACACAAAGAGATGGGTCTCCGTTCTAATCTTATTTCTTTCTCTGAATCCTTATAATTTTGGACAAGTCACGCAGGATTTCTTAATTTGTTGAAGTTTCTACATCTATAAGTTGAAAGGTATATATTCTTCAATGACTGCTTAGTCCTAGAATTTTTGGAGCCTTTGATGTTTTGTTAGACCAAAATAAAATTCAGAATGAGTTAAAAATCCCCAGTTTGCATCTTGTAACCCAATGGACAGTGTGTATCGTCTCTGTGTGTCTCTGCACTGTGGTGTCGGCCATGGAGCTGGTTGCTGGTGGAGGTGGCGTCTCAGAACTGTGGTAAGATTTTTCCTAAGTAGCAAATCCTCCTCCCTGCTCTTTCTTTTCACCTCCTGAATGCCTCTACCATGTGGATCGCTGGCTATTGATAAGATCACTGGGAGGGAAAAGGAGGCAAACAGGGGCAAATGGTTGAAATCCACTGGCAATGTCTCTGGAGGGGAGGAGTAATTTACAGGCTATTAGAACATGGGAGGCAGAGAACATACAGTGGAGCCAGGTTATATTTGTTCGGGAGATGTGGACTGTGAGTTTGGCATGCTTGTCATCCACACTCAGTATATTCTGCTTTGGAAAACATGTAAGAACTGGAACCAGGGCTTGCAGAGAATGTTCCCCGAGCCTCTTCCAAGCCTCTATAAGTAGAGAGAGCACTGAGCTCTTATCTCTGGCTGTCCTCTCCAGAGCTTTACAGAACATCATGAATAATATCATCCGCTCTTCTCAGGGGCCCGAGAACCCTTCCAGGTTGCCCTGTGTGCACGGGGGCTACTTTTGCAGAAGGTTCCCAGAGAGAAATACTGCAGCATGAACGTGTGTGTGTGTGTGTGGAGAGAGAGAGAGAGCGAGAGAATACCTTAGGGTATCACCAAAGCTCCCAAGTAATTTTGATCTAAGATATGAATTGTTTCTTTTATTGGAAATATTAACACAAAAAGGTCTTTGGTAAAATAGCCAGTGGGTTGGGCTGACTTGGTCTCAGGACTGAGAAGGAAAACAATTCTGTCTACTTTTCTAAAAGCCCAATATCACCACTGCCATCCCTACCACTGGCAGCCCTGCAGCAGTAAGTGTGCTGCTTCTGTCTGAAACCCCAGTCCCTGGAGGGGTCTCCACACTTCCTTTCTCTGGGCCTTGAGGGCTATGCCGAGAACTTCGATGCATCTGGAAATTTTACTATTTTTCATAACCAAACTAGAAGCTGCGTCTGTAAACTGAGTATTTGCAATGGGCCAAGCACCATTCTAAATGTTCTTTTTGGATTTAAGCCTCACAACACTAGGGGGTAGATATGATTATTAGCTCTATTTTACAGCTGAGGAAACTGAGGCCGAGTGGACCAGCTTCCTTCCTGAGGTTGTGTGGTGGTGGAGCTCTAGCCACTGCATGAGTGTTTTTAACCCCTAGGCTGTGCTGCCTCCCCTAGTGGAGCAGCAGCCTCCTGTGGGCAGAAAGCCCTGCAGGAAATGGTATGCGGGTAGGGACCAGAGTGCGCACGGAAAATGCATGAAGTGTGATGGGCACGTTGGCCAGCAGTCGCCTCTTATAAGCCCCTGGTCCGAAAAACGGGTCCCTGTGTGTGGATTTCCAACCTCCCTTATGGGAGGCATTGCTGACGGCGTCACAGCAGGTGAGGGACTGGCAGATCTTGAACCACCAGCAGTCCCAGGTGGCTGCTGGGCGGGACTCCTTCCCAGGAGCACTTCTTCCCTTTCACATGACATTTCTGCAGGAAGCCTGGCCTCTGCATGGTGCCCAGCTCGATAACCATAGCCTCTCAGGCCTCACGGGCATCTGAGCCTAGTTTGCATAGCATGCCTGACAGCTGTAGTAAGACAGGGGAAGCTGCAGGGAAGAGCTCTGTGGTGGGGGTGGCGTGCCAAGCAATCCAGAAGCCTCTCCAGCAGTGGATCAGAGGTTACACTGGAAAGAGAGGTAGTGAAGAGGACACTGCAGTGGTTTAGAGGAGATGATTTTCATTCAGCGCAGGACAGTGTTATTCCATGGTGGGGAGCCAGGTGCGAGGAGCTGGTTCAGAGTGGGCTACTGGACATCAGCGTCCACAGTGCCTGTCCTCCCCTTCTCTGTCCACAACCTTGAGCATGTCCCTTGGCCTGGCTTGCTGTCACTTGATCTGAGACAGCAGGTCTAGTTCTTATCTTTTACCTCTACCCTCTCCCAAGATGGTGCATGTAAAAGGAACTAGCATTTGTTTCCGAGTGGTGTTGAGAATTTTTCCTCTTAGTTTTAGTCATAACCTTGGACCAACCCTTTATCACAGTCCCCTCTGGGATCCCTGCCCACGTTTATTTGCATCATAAGATCTGCTTTCCCTCATATGCCACTTTGTTTTTCCTGTTTCTGCCTGGACTGGCTTCCTCCTCTCTTCCTGTTGTCTCTGTCGCCTTCCACGTGGTGCTAAGGAGGCAGTCGTGATTCATCTGCATACCAAAGCATCACATGTCGATGGAGGCAAATTGGTCATTTCCCAAAGCTACAAAGCCACTAACGCACCCCATATTTTTGTTTTTCCTTTGTCTACATCCCACTGATCCCAGTTGCATATTCTTTGTTAAAAATGATAGTTTTTATTTATCTGATTCCCTGTATCACATGTGGACTGCAGGGCTCACTGAGACGTTCAGTGGCATCAGCTTCCTTGGGCAGACATCATGTTCACATCTCTGAACTGAATTCACCTGGCAATGTAGAGTGTGGCACCCTCACATCACAGGCTGCATTCACACTCTGAAGTATAAAACACAGTCAGTGTAGGTGTTGAGCAAGAATGAAGATTCAAAAAGCATAATTGTATGCCATCTGGCATAAGTTAGTCTCAGTTTCTGGTTTGAATGACCATGTCCCTTTTCTGATCCAAATAGAATGGAGGAGCCAAGAGTAACTTATATTTCCCAGTCAGGCACTCACTTTGCTGATCTGTGAGAGCTCGAGTCCACGTCTTTCGCGTGTTGCTGACACATTGAGTGACTGTTTGTTCTCTGGAGACTGTGACTGTGCTGCGCATGTTCTGAGCAGAAGGATGCTTCTCACGCCAAAATCATTGCTCCCGTCCCTTATGCTCATCATGTTTATGAACTGTAATTGTTTGGAATCTAATAAAAATAAGCCACTCTCTTTTTGTATCTTGTAGAAACTACCTCTTCAGATTGCAGCTAGAGGACCTATCTCTTATCCAGGTAGGTGCAATTTGTTTTTCACAACCTTTTTTCCATCCAAATTAACTCCCTGTTTGAAGGAACAGAGACCAAGCAGAGTGTCCTTTCCTCAGGGGGCCGGAACGCAGGACGCTGACCTGCGCTGTACAATGTGTCGTGCCCTCAATTCCCGGTTAACCTTTTCCCCTGCCATGGTTTCATGGGCCTCACCCTGGTACACTCTGCGTGTGGTGACAGACAGCGTGAGGCACATTTCCTCAAAGTCAGGGAGCAGCCCAGACAGGGATTATTTCATTTGCTGCATTCAGTCATTACACTCTTATGAAACACCTTTGATTGCTATTTTTGTTTATAATTACATAATGTTGAATATGGGAGTAAAAGTTACATAGAGCAAAGAACAGATGATAGTAGATAAAATGGCATTTATCAACTTCTGTTACTGCAGTTTAGAGAATGAGCCTTTGATCCTTAATGTGGAATACTTATTTTCTTGTAGATCTGAATGATAAATGCCCCCTTTCTCCCTCTAATCTTTTAGAAAGGTGTGATATTTGAAATCTCCTAGAAAAGAGGGTTATAATATAATATTCTTCCTTGCTGAGATTCTGGAGCTATTTGTGGACTATGTCACAATCTCTGGACTACAGTTTGAAAAATATTCTTCAGCTAATATGAATATCAGCCTCCTGTCCTAAGCTCTAAGAAGTGATTGAAGAGATTATATTATTTTATTCTCTCTGTAGTGCTGGTACTTGTGGGTATTTGGGAAATTCTACAGGTAGGCTTTAATATTACATCTATCTTTTATTCATCAGACTCATGACAATCTGACTGTCAAAGCTAATGTTGGTAACAAGCAAGAGCTTTGAAGAACATTACACTGGATTTGTTGTCTAGATCCCTACGTCTTAGTAATAATTAGTTTCTTCACTGGGCAATGGCCACAAATGACTACCAACCCCGTGCTATTCATAATGCACATGAACTGAGATGTGCCAAAGAGAGAAAGTGCAGGAGCTTCTCAAGCAACTGTACAGCTTGTGTTTCCGAAAGGAATAATATGTGTATCAGCTGCATAGGAGGAATGTAAACGTTGTGCTGCAAACATGTAAAAGAAAAAAAGGGAAGCGGATCAGGAGATGGATGTAGACAGTGGGAAGGGAAAGGAAAATGGATGAAAGGAGGAAATAACGTGTTATATACATGCACCACCTTCCCTGAAGGAATAAACATTATATTCTACAACGATAGTGATAAATAAAAGAATGAAATTAAAAAGTGGTACTAATAATAAATCATTATAATTCTTTCAGCACACTCAACAGTGATTTGGCTTTTTACAAGTCATGAAGTGAACTGGGTGGTTGTTAAAATTAGGAACTTATTAAATAATCAGAATGATCAACACTTTGAGAACATTATGTTAACTGGAATAAGCCAGGCACAGAAAAATGAGTGCCGCATGATCTCTCTTACATGTAGAGATGTAGAGGGAAATCTTGGAAGCAGAGTAAAGGACTGGTTGCCAGGGGTTTGGGGCCTAGGGAGAAAAATGGACAGACAGTGGTCAAAGGACACAGAATTCCAGTGCAATGGGAAGAATAAGTTATAGAGATGTATTGTACAGCCCTCTGACTATAATTAATAATGTAGTACATAGTGAAAAATTGCTGAGAATTGATTCTAAGTATTCTCAGCACAAAAACATATGTAAGGTAATACATATGTAAACTATCTTGCCTTAGCCATTCCACAGTGTATACATGTAATAATCATGTTGTAGGGGGGCCGGGAATTTAGCTCAGTGGTTCAGCTGCCTGCTTCACAAGCACAAGGACCCGAGTTCGATCCCCGGTACCAAAAAAAAAAATTGTTGTAAACTGTATACATGCCTATAATTATTTTATTATATTATGATATATGATTCTTATTTATCAATCAAAAATGATGATCAGTAATTTAATCAAAATAACATCTCAAACATTACTTTAAATAATTTTATGAAATACAGACCTCTCAATAGATAAGAGCACTATATTATGCTCATTTTGATTCTCATAATATATTCTCTGGCATACTATGTATCAAAAAGTGGGTTGTGTAGATATATGTGTGCTCCCAAGCACACTGACTCTACGATTCCATTTGTTTCTTAGTCCTGATGACTCAGAGGGTCTAGAAGCAGGCCATTCCACTACTAATGAGCACACATAGTTCACAGCACTTGGTTTCCAAATAGACTTCTCCAACTCAAGGAACCAGAGTTTCTTAATGCAGTAACTGATTCCAGAGCTAGGCAAAGAAAATCTCAGATAAGACCAAAATAATTTTTGTTTCAGAAGTTAAAGAAATATTCAAAGCATGTAGAAGGTGTATGAAACGAACATGAGAATCAGCTTCTAGCATGCTCACTGAAAATATCTGGGAAATTTGGATGGTCAACATATATAATCATAGTAGCAGATTATTATATATTTCTTTTTTTTTTTTGGTACCGGGGATTGAAGAGATTATTATATATTAAGAGAATAATCCATGATCAAATACTAACATAAACATTAAATGAATGACTTGTTAGTCACACAGAAGGGAGTGACCTTTCTTCTCATAAAATACCAACTATTAAATATTGAAGGAATGGTTTAATTAGAGAATTATGATTTGGCCATCATCACACTAAAATTGATCTAAATAAAAATGATCCATGGTTGCTAGGATATGTGAATGAGTTTGATGACAACTAGGATATTTATAGTTTCCTAGTACTTTCCTATACACTACATATTAATTGCAAGTAATATCTTGGAAGGGGACATGAAGAAGAAGAAACCTGGTAAATATCACACAACCAAGTAGTTCACAGTAACTTTGCCAGTAATGAGACAAAGAGCCTGTGATTTGTTGCCCTGAGAAAGATGCAGCTAGATTTCCGTTACATCCCAGCCTGACGTTATATAACCAGCCTTACTTTGAGGAACCCTCAGACAAACTCAGAGTGAGGGACATCCTGCAAAATGCTGGCCTCTGATCTTCAAGTATCAGTCATGAAAGATATTTTTAAAAGAATGAACAGTTGATCCATCAAAACAGAGAACAAAGGAACATCACAGTCAAATGCAGTACTTGATCCAAAGTTAATCTCTGGTAGATGTTTTTTCTTGGTAGGAGTTACATTATGGGACAACGTCCAAAATGTGATTGGAGAGAAGAGAGGACTCATTTCCTGATTCTGGTAGCTGTAATGGCAAGTGTCGTGGAGAGAATGTTCTACTTCTTTGGAAAAACCTCCTAGAATATACAGGGGATATTGTGTCATTTCTGTAGCTCATTCTCCAAAGACACAAAATTACTTTATATATGCATGCAAAGTCTAAGAAACCTATGGTATACTTACTTTGATTCTCATGATATAATATACATCCTGGAACCCTGTATATTAAAAACTGGGCTTTGTGGATATATGTGTGTTCCCAAGCACATATTGATTATACATATTCATTTGTTTCTTAGCCCTGATGGCTCAGAGGGACTAGGAGCATTGCATGTATGCAGACATCATACATACACATACATGCAGACAAAAATGATAACACAAATGTGATAACATGTGAATAATGAAATTGAAGTATAGGGTTTGTGCAAGTCTACTGTGCTGTTCTTATAGCTTTGCTTGACATTATGTCAAAATAAATAGATGCAACATGTTGGAAATACATTTGCCACTAACGAGTGTACACATTGTGCTTGCGAGGGCAAGGACACTGGTTGTCCTTTTCCGACCATGCCTTCCCTTCTGACGGCTGCCTGCATGGTTGTGGTGCAAGTTACTGATGGGTCTGAAATGCACTCTGTGCGGGAGGGACGCCCGTCAGCCTCACCCCCTGGCGAGAGCTTCCTTTCCTGACACTGGGCCATGCAGGCCAGTGACATTCTGAGTGGTGGCTTTGAAGAGCAGTCATTGTGACAGACTCCAGAGTCCCATTGGTGCCAGGCACAGCAGTGACTCCCCTTTCTCAAGTTCCGTGGGTGAGCGTGCAGCTCTGTAGCCTGTTGTTTGGGCAGCATGCAGAGAGAGAAAGCTATCAACTCTTCATGACACTGTTTCAACTTAACTGCTCTTGAGGGAAGAGGTCTTACTGGTTTCTCTGAATATCTGTTTTAATTTAAATGACTACTTCCAGAGATAACAAAATGAAATAGTCATGTTGGCAAACAGCGGTCTGCTCTGGTCCTATAGAGGGGGCCATCAAAGAGAAGCATATGAGCTTCAGAATTAATTTAAGATCATCCAGTAGAAATATTGAAAACAAGTTCAAAGAAACAAGGAAAAGCACTTTTAATTATATATGTTGGCCCTATCATTATATCCAAAACCTTAACATTCCAACATGGAATCGTGAGATTTCCTTTTCATTGTTTTTGTTAGTATTGAGTCTAGGTTGTGTGGTTTCCAGTTCCTGCATGTTTTCCTTTGGACTAGCCAGAGTTCAGGTGTTCAGGGTGGCTAGCATTGCCAGTTGGACAGTAGAGTTGTTGATAGCAGGTAAGACAGCATTCATAGCTTGTTGCTTTCTGTCATTTATGCAAATTTTTACATGAGATCACCTAGATTCATTTATATATCTCGGGCTGGTCATTTTCTCCTTCTATCTCTTTCCAGAGACACAAAAGTAATGCTTAAATATGGAAAGATGAAAACATGGGGACCAGGGAGAACATCTACTTCAAATAGCAATGTAGGAAATGCGAATGGCAGCTGCCCTAGCAGTGGCTTGGATTCTCACCAGGCTGGGTCTCTTCCACATCCACCATAGAGCCTGTGACTCCTCCAGGTGGTGGCTTGCTTTGCCCACTTCTCTCCCCTTTGCAGTGGGACCCTTCCTCCTCATGCTAAGGTGCCTGTTGCTTCCCCAACTGTCAGCTATTTCCCAACATTGAACACTGTCCCTTATTGACCTGTCTCTCGTAAATACTTTTACCCCACTTTCTTAATCTAGAAAAAGACACACATCCTGTGT